CTCCTCCTGTAGTTAAAAGGAAAAATGCAGCACTATGTTTTAATAGGCTCAACGTAGCCCCGGGGAAGTTGATGAGGCTTGTCAATTATAAGGATGTATTATAGAGCTTGATCTGGGCGCTTCTCGTCTGCCTTACCTCCCACAGCAGCAGCGCAAGGATGAGCATTAACTGCAAGGTGATGTGGGCCCTAATTCAATGACACAGATTTCCACTCGCTGTCCAAGAAATGAGCGTTGTGTGAGAGCAGGATGGGGTCCAGTGAGTGACAGAGTGGAAAATGTGAAGAATGGCTCAGCGAGACAGGGTTGGTGAGGAGCCAGGAGAGACAGTGGAGAGCGAGTGGGAAAGCTGGCGTCAGCAGCAGATGAGATGAGCGAATGGAGGAGGAGTTGACTGTGCTCAGGGAAAGGAGTAGTATGAACGTTCACATACAGGCAACCCCCCGCCCTCCTTCCATTACTCCCAGCCCCAGGGACGGCATCCATGACAACAAAACCTTTCCCTAGATGCTTCTGTAACAAGAAAGCCTGAATCTGATGCATTTTTCAGCAGCTGCTCAGGTATAACCTGTGGTAACACATCAGATGCACACCACTGACACTTTCCATTAGGGGTGTTCTTGTCACACTTTCCCCCACCTCAGTGACCACAGAGGTGTTGGTTTAAGAGGAACACACATATCAATAACCTCAGTGACAGTTTTAGATAGGATGTACTGCTTGCTGTGTGGAGTGAAGCAGTTTTACACCCAAGATGAGCTCTAGCTGGAGAGAAGCGTATTTGGTCCATCATGTCTCAAAGCAACATTTTCCCTCCTTCTTTTTTCCTTAGATATTTGAGTATTTAAATGCAGCGTAGATGATAATAATAATAATAATTGTGTTTTGTGTAAAACAAAAATGTCAAAAAAACACTTTATTTTTGACTTATTGAAAGAGTCTGGAGTTATGCTTTGAAGTTAAATAAAATTTTCAGGTCTTACTGTACATCTTTAAAAATACAATACAATACGTGCATTAATTACATTGGTTAACAACTCTGATAAAAGCGTCCACCAAAATTACCTACAAAGCATCACTTCACAATCTGTTATCTTTCCCGGTAGCAGGCCTCTCTCTGAGTGCAGTCTAGGATGTTGCAATTTAATGTTGCATGTCCTTCTCTTTAAAAGAGTGATTCGGACAGGCCTTCCTTCACTTCCAGAGGAAAACAAAGCTATTAAGGATGGAGACTCGCATGGCCTCTTATGGCGAAAAGAAAGTTTTCCCCCCAGCCAAGATGTGAGAGGGCAGCCAAGCTCACCCTGAACCCACCTGGCCCTGTGTGACAGTGGGGTTAGAGTCCCACTGCGAGGCTTGATGTGGCAATACATCACACAGCTACAGCTCACCAGAGAGCAACCACACTGGTCTCAGGCGAGGACAGCTGGAGGACATCGTGGGAGGGAGGATAAGGGAAGTGAGGAGATGGCAGGAAAGATAGCTGCAAAAGGCACACGGGGTCATACGGGAAGTGGCTGCTCTTGCTTGGTTTCCTGTTAGGAAGAGCCACAGGGAGAACATGAACAACTGAGGCCTGGATTTTTGGCAGAGGCAGGTATATACAGCAGTTAATTACAACAAAATGGGAGGCAGTGAGCAGAGTTCTTGGCTGCATGTTTTGAATAAAACTTCCCACATGAGGACTCCTGTGTGGCCTTTGCTCTTTCCTCTCAAGGTCCCTGGTCAGCAACCTGTACCGTCCCGGCATAAGAATGCAAATATTTAAAAAATCACTCCGGTTTTTAAGAACTTGGGTCTTATTTTTAGTTTTGGCCAAGAGTTTTGGCCATCTTTTCAATTGGTAACAATAGTGTTTTACTTATAATGTTATCTCTGAAATGTGGGAAAGCAGCAACATTTCAAGATGTCAAACAGGGCAATAAACATACAATCATACAGGTTTTAAAGAAACACCTATGTTTTCCAAACTTATTTGGAAGTGAAAACAAAGGCGAAAACTAAAATTATTACCAAAACTTTACATTCTAAACATTCAGCAAAGTTGGATGATGAACAGGTTGACTTCTTATTTCAACTTTAAAGTAATAGTTGGTTAGTTTAGTTTAGCACAAAGACTGCAAACAAATGAAAACAGCTAGCTTGAAACTGCAACTTCTCATTTTTAGAGAGCTATAACTTGCTAATTAGTAGCATTTGACAGAGCCAGGCTTCCCCTGCTTTCAGATTTTTTGCATAGCGTCATATTTAACGAACAGATATGAGAATGAGTTTAATCATCTCATCTAACTCTCTGCAAAAATGTGAATATTTCCAAAAATCTTAATTTGGTAAATACGTGTGTGTGTGTGCTCACTTCCGGTTTTAGATAATCCGGTTAATCTGCTGGCATGTTTACAATCTGTCTGATCGTCTGATTTCTTTGTGGCTACGTGGTTGTGTTCCCAGATCTCGGCAATTGTTTCAGTGAGTTCAGTGATATAATGATAAAAATTGTTATTAGAAACATTATTATTATATTACAGAGAGAATCAAGTAATTTTCTGAAAAATAAACATTTATCAATCTTTGAAAAACTTGAGAAACTGGTTGCAAATGTTTTTTTATTATGCAAAAGATGGTTTATTTCCTCCACATGGTTAGACGAGTGTTTGAGGATTCTGGAAATGCCTTCAGAATTGTAAGTCTTGTTAAACAACCTTCTTGGTTTTTCAAAGATCGTGTATTTATTTTTTGGAAAGTCAGACGCTTAGCGCTGTGACTTCAATGTGTTGGTAATACATGAGAGTTACAAACCAGGGCTAAGTCTGTGAATGTTGAGCATTGCTCAGCCCTTGCCTCACTTCAGCTACACTGAAGAAATCTGACTGCCAAACAGCCATCCCTCTGAGCCCACTGGACTGTTTATAGAAAATCTTTCAGCTGAGCACATTTCATGCATCAGGCTCCATCAGACCGCTCATGAACAATTACCAGTGCTAATAGGCTTTCCGAGAGAAAAGAGAGCTACTGTTTATCTCTCCTCACCAAAGTTGAGATGTTTACATTGATGGCTGGGAATAAAACATCTCCACATGTTCAAATATTTATGAAGCTTGTGTTAAATCTACCACTGAGCAAGACTGTGCAGAGCTGTGCCACTATTGATCGTGGCCAGAAACACGTAGACATTCTGAAACCTAATGCATCCCACAGTGATGAACGTGTGGCTCACCATCACAGAGCCTTCCACTGCTAATCTAAAAGTACAGAGAAAATGACTGACTTTCAGGAAATCAATCAGGAAATCAATGATTTGGATGTTATTTTCAAATCCATTTAAGGAAATCATTATTTTCATTATCGTCCTCAGAGAAAACGTGAGAAATAAAACATGCAAACTGTGAGCAATCACGGATGCGACTGGCAGAGAAAGTTGTGCATGACTGACCAACTGAAGACGTGAGAGACACAGGCAGCTGGCTCACTGAGCAGTCATCTGTGAGTGTGTGACTGTGTGTGTGCGTGGTTCTCAGCAGCTCCAAATGAAATTAGCCATCAAGCTGAGTCCTTTAGCAGCAGTCTGCAGTAGAGACTCAAGGTCGGACTTACTGATTCTGCTGATGCGTTTTATTCTCTGGAGCCAGCACCACACTGCCGAATGAGGGGTTACTGCTGCCCACCGACCCCTCTACTCATTCCCACATTCAGTCATCCTCTGCACACAGACACTCTCTCCATTATCACCCTGGTCCTCCCTGGCAGGGGAGAGTGCATTTACCCATTAAATTAGGTGAGGGGAAGGAGGGGATGACGGCGTCCGCTGGAGTGCCTGGATACCCTTGCTGATGTGCAGTGGGGAGATGGATAGGCTAAGGTGTTCTGATTTCCCATATGACTACAGTAATTGTGTTATAATGGAGGCGGCAGTTGAGTGGCCATCAGCAGAGGGACAGAGGTACAAAGCTACCAGCTTCACATCCCCCTTCTTCTTGTCGCCATGCAGAACACTAAAGTGCAGAATGAGATAGCAGGGGATTGTGGGTCTGATGTGTTTTTATTAAACTGCATGCATGGTCTTTCAGGAACACAGTCAGAGCTTCTTGGGGTGAGGGATTATACTAGTGTGTGCACCCCAGCTTGTTACAATTAATGTTTGTATCACTCCTGAGCCACTGACTCTACAGTTTGCAACCATATCCCCTCAGGCAGGTAGTGAAGTGTTACACCTCATCTCCAGAAGTTGTTCAAGTTGCTGTCTCAACAACTGTTTGCTTACTTGATGAGCTTAAAACTGAAGCAGCATTAAAACTGCATCTCGCCTCAGGCTAATGTCACCAGTGATTAATCTGTTGATACTTTTTCCTGTTTATTTATCTTTTACACACTTATTCATTACTTCATTAATTGTCAAATATAATGACACATTCTTATCACGAGTTAACACAGTTTTGCAGGCAGTGTTACTCATTTGTAAAGCTGTAAAATATCATGTAGCTCAGTTTACTTGTCATGAAGAGTTTTATTCTCCCCATGAAAATGGTTGTATGACATTTTCTGTGGCTCTGGAGCTTTGACAATTTTGTATAAATCTCTCGGCCTGGGCTTGAGACTTAACGTTTTAACAGAAACCCTGGAGTTGTGGGGAGGAGGTCTAATGAAAGACGCTATCCAGTTGCATTATGGGAAATGTAGGAGTTTTGAGTTTTTGGAGTTTGACCCAAATTAGAGACTAAAAGTCCATTCCTTTTTTTAATCTGTCTCTTGCAAGTCCCCCAACTTTATGGATGTGACCTTTTTAATGGCTAAAACATTTAAATAACTTGAGACAAACAAAATGAGAGCCATTATTAGTCCTGCTGACCTAGACATGCATAATAACTATATAAACTATATAAATAACTATAACTATATAAATAATTTTAAATGCCAAATTAAGGCACACAGGTGGATTTAGTCATATACATCCCGTAGCAGTGATTGTCCTCATATTCCTTCTCTCCTCTGTATTTTGCTGTTAGGCACAATGAGACCAGTGCAGAGAAACTTCTACGAGCCGTCGTCTGCCCCGGGGAAAGGCGTAGTGTGGGAGTGGGAGAACGACAACGGCTCCTGGACTCCGTATGACATGGAGATCTGTGTGACCATCCAGAATGCTTACGAGAAGCAGCACCCTTGGCTTGACCTGACCTCTCTGGGCTTCTGCTACCTCATCGACTTCAACAGCATGTGTCAGACCAACAGACAGAGCCAGCGCAAGCGACGCCTGCGGAGACGCATGGACTTGGCCTACCCGCTCATCATGGGTTCCATCCCCAAGTCACAGTCCTGGCCTGTGGGAGCCAGCTCTGGCCAGCCCTGCTCCTGCCAGCAGTGCATCCTGGTCAACAGCACGAGAGCCGCCTCGAATGCTATTCTGGCCTCTCAGCGGCGTAAGGTCTACGGAGGAACAGCGGGCAACCCAGGCACTACAGGAACCCTCACTGTAGTGCGGCAGAGCAACACCTTTGCTGGAACCTCCCTCTGGTCTCAGACATCCACCTCCTCCTCCGCCACCAACAACAATAACATAAGTGTTGGAGGTGGGCAAGCCAAAGCTGAACAGGTGCAGTTGCCACTGTCCACTGCCAACTTCCCCTGTTCCCCCGTGATGCCATCTCTTTCATCCGCCCATGGCCACCACGCTCTCACCATCAACGGACAGAACAACCTGAACCGGCCGGGCACCCAGCGCATTTCCATGGGCACTGCCAGAGGAGCCATTCCACCAGGGTAATGATGTTTGCAAACACAATCATACATTCCCATTAGTTTCTAATTTGGATTTTCTGGAGTCTGCAGTAGCCTGTTACTTGTTATAACGCAGGCATAATGCTCGGATTCGGATGAATTTACAGTTCAGCTGAGGCAATGGGGGAATGAGAAAAGTAAAGAGGCAATCTGCGTTTCTGCTTGTCTGCTTCACAAAGCTTCAGCCCGCATGCTTCTGGTGTATTGTGCTCATGTCATTATCTGTCTTTCTCTACCTCTCTCCATACTCATTTATGACTACTCTCTTTAACATGCTGATCAATGGATCTGCAGAAAAAGCCTTGGGTCCAGCTGATTCTCCTTTGCCTGACTTAAGTGAGGAAGAACGCTTCTCTTTCATATGTGGGTTTGCCATGGTTACTGCTCTATAATGAGCTTATGTTGGCCCCAATAGGCATGAAATACATCAGCTCTTCTGGATCATTCTGTTACTTCTGCTTTAAACTGATTTGTTACTATCACACTACGCTGCGGTGGTTGAGTCATGGGATGTGAATATGTCTGACGTTGTATGTGGAATATCTGTGTGTGTGTAACCACGTCTTTGTTTTATGGTATGTGAAGTGGGCTCTGGTCTAGCTGTGGAAACATATTTGCCATGGAGGCAGAGCTCCACTGGGGAAGAATGAATAATGGATCAAGGAAAAGTGGGAGCTTCAGCAGAGCGCTCTGACCTCTGAGCAATTCAGCGAAAGGAGCCGAGGAAAAGAAGTGTGTCTAGCGTTGTAACCGATACTTCAGTCCCCTATCCTGCTTTCTTTTACTAAAATAAACCCTCTCCTGATCTAATTTGATTCCATTTTATTCTCACCGCTCATGGGGAGAGACACACTTACTGCATGTTTGAATAATACCGTCCTTCACCCAGACACACAAGCTTTCACTTTCTCTGGCCTAATTCTGTGTCACCGAAAGGGAAACATATAGGGTTTTTGTTCATCATAGCAGGCCATGACCTTGTTTCACACAGCAGGCAGGTGGGAAATAATGTGTCTCTGTGAAGATGCACATGTAAAAAACCAGCATAGGATGAACTATTCAAGAATGTTTCCTTTGTTTTTTTTACTAATCCAGTGAAAGCTCAGGTGCACGTGGAATTGTGGATGAAATGTGACTTTTTCAGCTGGCAGCACAAAGCGTTTTTGCGGAGACAGAGAGAGCGAGAGTGCGAGAGAGGAAGAGACAGGGGGGTGAGGCGGAGTGCGTCGGTTCCCAGGCGAGTGGCTCGACATACAGGATGAGTGTGGTTAACATACACACAGCAGGACATGAGAGCTCACAGACACACACACACACACTGAAATGTGAACTCCCTCGTAAATTCCCACAAGCGTGCAACAGACAGATAACAGAGGAACCCACACAGAATGTAAAACATCAGATCTGTTTTTCACACACCCACACCCTAATATAACTGGTGTTGGGTGCAAAGAAGGTATTTGGCATGCTGTGGCTTATTTAAATGAGTTGAGTTGTTGCTGCTTCGCATACAGAAACAACCATTCTCTGTCTGATTACAAGGGTTTTTTCAAAACACACTCACAAACTGTATATGACTGATTATATCTTTGCGTAAGCTACCACAGCACAGCATATGTTTTTCTGACCTGTGTGTGTCATTGATGACAAAGCCTGCAGTTCTAATATTGATCTTTTAAATGTTTAAAAAAAGACTAGTTGTGGCCTATAAATGGTGGTGGCGGTGGGGATTGTGTTGCTTCTTGCATCTGTCTTATATGCACAAATATTAGAAGTGGCACCATCTGCTGGTTTGTGTAAACACATCAGTTTATCTAATTACTGGGTTGAAACAACCCACTATATCATCAGATGCCTTGACATGATACCTGCTATAAACTGAAGACCTGTGGTTTGTGAAACAAAGTCATGTATAGTAACATATTTAGTACAGTATAGGCAGATGCAGTATGTTGTAGATAGTTTTAATTACTGGGCTCACACTGCATTCACACTGTTGATGTTGATGATTCTCATTATCGATAAATTAATTATTTTTTAATTATTTGTTTAATTGTTTGGTCTACAAACTTGCAGAAAAGTATGAAAAATTTCCCATAGATATTCAGTTTACAATGATTAAAATCAGAGAAAAGTAGCAAATTCGCACATTTTAGAAGCTAGAACCAGAGAATCAGAATGATGATGATTTTCAATCTGCTAATCAATTAATCAACTAAATGTTTTAGCTCTACATATAAGTAGAAAGATTGTGATATTAGTATAGTATTGTCTAGATTGATATTTCATGTTATTTTGGAAATAATTCAAAATTGTTGTGGGGGGTTTAAGTGTTAAAGGTTCAGTGCGTAGGATCTAGTAACATAAATGCAATATAAGATCCATCATTATGTTGTCAGTGGTGTACAAAGACCCTAATTAATGCACGTCCCCCTCACATGGACGTCGCCATGTTGAACCGCCATGTTTCTACAGTAGCCCAAAACGGACAAACAGCACTACAGCGCGTTTTGTCACTACGTTCTTCTTCTTCTTCTTGTAGAACTCTGGCAGTGTAGACGCTCATCACTACGTTGAATACATATGTTCGAAGAAGAAGTAATAATATACAGCAGGGGTCAGCAAATAAGTTTTGCATCGGAGCAATTTTTTTTATCCATTAAATGGTGGGTGAGAATATAACTATTTTATAACTATTTATTTATATTTCAGTTGAATGTTATGGTATTTGGTAAGCTCAAATGGTAAAGCATGAGACTCTCATCTAGAAGTCTAAGTGTTCAATCCCACATTGGGAGAACTTTTTTTTCCCTTCTTCAACAAACTGAACATGAAATGACTGTTTCACTTGCTCACAAAAAAACATGTGCTGTAGTCTGTGTGTTCCGGTGTTTGATCCACATCCATCAACCTACTGATTCATTTCCCCAGTGTCTCCAGGCAGAGGGCCATTTAGGGGAATCACGTTTTCAGATGACTATTGCAGGTGCAAGGTGTATAAAGCAGGCAACAGACTCTTTTAATGTTGTTCAGAATTTTTCAAAGTAAAAGCTTTCAATTCAACTCCAAATATAATTATTTTGCAGGCAAAACACAAAAGAGGAAGTGATTAACTGTTGCTGTCATGACTAAGATCTATTTCAGCAGCTATTAACTTATTTATTTATTTTTATTTTTTACCTCTATCAAAGCACCATAATCTGGTTGTGCTGGCGGGCAGTTTTGGTGAGGGTCCATAATCACAGAGAGAATTAACATGTTTCCCCTGTCAATGTTTAAAAGTGTTTATAATGGACTGCGGTGCAGAAACAGTGACACTGTTAGATTTTCTAGGTTATCTGTCAGTGACCAAGTCGCAATAACATATAGTTTAACTGATTAAATAAATTAAATAAATATAATTTCTTAACATATCTACCTAAAGAAAATTTCTTGACTGGCTACTCTCTGCTGTCTCAGAAGACGACACCTTTTGTCCTGTGACAGCCACCATAGCTACCATACACTCTTTGAAAAGGGGCTGGGGGATTACGTGGAGAGATGAAAAGTGATGATATTGAATTATCTGTCTGTTCAAAAGATAAAGAGACATATTAGAAATTAACAGAGCAAGAAAGATCTCTGGGTTTTTTTTTTCAGGTCTTTTCTGTATGTCAAACCACTTCCTCTTGACAGAAAGAATTACTGTATGGTGTTGTTTTCTCTGCAAAGCCAGAATGCACAGGCAAAAGCTCAGAGATTATAACAAGAAGAGGTGCTGTGTTCATACAAAAAACGGATAAGTGTGTGTTTGCACATGTGCTATTGGCTTTGTTTACGAACACCCTCCTTGTGTTAAGACTGCTCGTTGGATTTGTGACTGGAGGGCTGTGTGTTGAGTGCAGAGATCATTATCCCTCAGTGGGCTGCTGCACCGTTCTGCTCTGGCGCTCACCGTAAGATTAAAATTAATATTGAAATTAATGTATAAATCATGAGCGCTCATCTGGACTAAAGTGATGCAATTTGGAAATTCTTGGTGTCATTATTGCTTATTCTCAGGGCACTTCAGGTGCAGTGTAAAGTGGATTACCCAAGTTGTAATCCCCCTCAGTGTAGCAGGGGGTAGGGCTTGCCTCTGCTTCCCGCTACCCACATCAATATGCAATTAAGCACTCCTACAGTTCTCTCTCTGTAACCCCCTCTCACTGTCTTTATGGTGCATAATAAACAGATGAGGAGGTATTAGTCCTCCGTCAGCACTTTCCTAACTAGGCCTAATGTGGTTTCTCTATTTGGGGAATCACATTGCTCTCAGTCTGATTAAGTCCTCCAGGCAGGCTGGAGATTCCCTCAAGAAAGGAAGGATGATACCGAGCTGGATGACTGAAGAGGGACAGCGACCCTCGTGCCCTGACCTGACAGGGGCCATAATTAATATGGTGTTTAATGGGTTAGGTATGTAGGGGCTGGATTTATCACTTAATTGCATGGGTTATAGGTCAGAAATGACAGCATTAGACATGACAAATATCACCATAGGAAATTCCTTAGCAGTATCTGACACATTACTGGGTGGAGTCAGGCTCACGTTTTCATGCAGAGACGATGGACAGAAGGGAGCGAAGAAGTGAACACAGGCCAAGAGAAAAATTAGACTTGGCAGGGCGAAAGAAATTCAGAGGTGACGAGGTTCAGTGTGGTACGCTTAATGTGCCCTTTCAAAACTTGTGCAACAGTGTTGTGGTGGAAAGGAGAAATGTCTGCTCTCGTTTACACTGATGATGAGGTATAATTGCTTGTAATACCTGAACATAAGCCAACACAGGCTATGTTTCTGGCATAGAAATTAGAGATCATTAAATGACAGGCAGTGGATTTTAAAGCTCTCCGAGATTTTTCACATTGTGGATGATGGTGTTTTTAGTCAATTGTGATGTGAGAGGGGGAGAGTAGTAAGGAGCGAAAGGAGGAGAGTTAAAGCCAAGGGCTTGAAGTCATCCAGCATTAGGGATTGTCAGCAGAGTGTGAGGATATGGCATGTGTCTTAAACCCCAGAGCTCAAGGCGTAGCCAGGACAGACAGGGTCAGTGCCTCCAGAGATGCACATTTCTATAAAAAACAAGTCAAGAGAAAAGAGGTTAGCACCGTGTAGAATGAGATGGAGGATGGCAGCTGCACACAGGCTACAGGTTGGCTGGCTGGTTAAGGGTGCAGCCTTGTGTAAGAACCATTTCTGCAGTGCATAGACAGGTACTCACAAGCTTCTCAGAAATAATAAAATACAGTGCAATGGGAAATTGCCCACAAGATGTGGATATATCTGTCTCTGTAAAAAATAAAACAAAGCACAGTGTAGATAAGCACGTTAGCTTGTTTCTTTCAGCTTAGCAGATTATGATCATCAGTTGCTGCTGCTGGTTGTTTTTTGGTGGTTGTGGAATCACACAGTGCACAGCTGTTTCTTCTACATTGCACATTTATTATGTAACACGCTCTCTGGCTATCAGTGAGGTCTCTGCTAGAATTGGACTAGGAGTTGGAATTGGAGCAAAAGATTAAAAGCATTCCTAATGAATGTTATGTTATGGATCCTCAAAAGACTCTCCGTGCTGTATGCTCATGCAAAAGTGTAGTTTGTGCAAAATGTACAGACAGCACACACCAAGAGATGGTGTTAAGCGCTCTCAAGGTGTGCTGTTCCATTTCCACTCCTAAAGAAAATGATTTGTTTGATCACAGTGCTCTCTGTGAACAACCTAAATTATACATGCACTCATAAAGGGAGGCATCTTGTTCACAGCGTGTTTTGATTAGATTTATGTCTAAGTGCATGTTTAAATGAAGGTGGGGAGCATCTCCTTTGTTTTTATTGATACCACTTCCTGATTTAGATATTATGTTTTATAAGGTGTTTGTTACTTCTACATTTTGCTCAGTAGTGAAAACAAACACTGCCTTCAGAGAGAATAACTTGCCTTCCTCTGACTCAACCTGGTGCTTTTTGCAGAGTGATGGGCAGCTGGGTGCCATGTATTGACTGGTTCGTTTTTGTTGGAAGCATCGACTGCAGCAGATGAGTTCACATATTAATTCCTCTACTGTGGTTGAAGGTGTGAAATAACTCGCTATAATATTTGCTTGAAACTAAATCCTCCAACCAAGGTCAAACCTGTTATGGTTTCACACCCCTGAATTTGATACATAAGGTGTTTATCACAACTGCACATAGTTGTGCTTTTATTTGTTTTGAGTCACATCAGCCTTGCACTCAACAGGAGTCCAGGGCCTGTATTCATAAAAAATCTTAATACAAAGAGTAGCTCCTAGTGACAAAATTCTAAGAACATTCTTAGAAAGGTGGGCGTTTACTCTTAAAATTAAAGAAAAAATCCTAGTAAAGAAAAAAGTAATTCAGAAAGCATCTTAACCCTTAAAAGAGGTCTTAAGGTCAAAATTGTTAGGAGCATGGACAAGGACTTTTAAGAGGCTTAAGAGTTTCTGTAGTACAGGAGAAAATGGCAGAAAGACGAAGAGGGAGAAGAAATGTGTTGCAGACAATGGATGACAGTGAGTTAATCAGACGCTATAGATTAGATCGTGCAGGGATCATGTTTGTGACTGATCTTATTAGAGACGCGCTAACATCTCCGACACAGCGCAGGAATGCCATAGCGCCAGAAATGAAAGTAATCACTACATTACGATATTTTGCAACTGGGAAAATGCAACAATGCAGCAGTGATGATTTGGATCTGTCACAACCTTCTGTAAGCAGAGTGATCACACAAACAATTACAGCACTTTCAGAACCTCTTATTGTGTCGTAGTTCATTTCGTTTCCACTGGACATTCCCACCTTGCAGGCTCAAAAAACTGCATTTATGAATATAGCAGGTTTCCCTGGTGTGCACAAGCAGGGGGAATGAACCATTAATAGTTTGTGCTATACGCTCCCACGTCTGCTTCTTGCCCCGTGCTGTGACACCCGGCCTGAATTTTCCTTTTAGAATGGCCTTGTGTTCATCCACTAACTGGGCTAACAGTAAACACTGTTCCTCTGTCCAGTTGGGCTTTCTCGCCCTTCTTGGTTTTGATTCCATGTTTGATACCTTAAAACCAGCATTCAAACTACCACTTAAATAGACATGCCAGCAATCAGTGGATTGGAAAGAGTGGAACAATTTTTATCATTCTAAGCCAATCAAATACTTTATAGGAAATTACCAGCATGGTAAATAAAAAACAGGATCTATATACACATATATAATGTGTGTGTGTGTGTGTGTGTGTGTGAGAATGGACAAATAGGAAATATTACGCATGTAATTTCCAAAGTGAAGGCTTAGAATAGAACCTATACTTAAAATCGCTCTTTGTTTCCTTCTTGGACAACCAACCAATCACGGTTTTCAAAAGATTGTGTCAAAGATAGCAACGGGGTCAACCCTGCCTCCTCACTAAGATGAAAGTTTTTGTCTTTTCCTTGCTCAGAGTTGCTCTCAGATCAGTCCCTGATCGCTCTTAAGCTAAGATTCCTACGTAAAAGTTTTTAAGCTAAATTAAGAGTTTTCTGAAAGGATTCTTAGAATCTTTATGAATATGGGCTCAGGTCCTCTTGTCCGCTGGTGTATCTGAGTCCAAACCAGAGATGCAATAGGAATCCTCAGCCAGGCTTCACGTACCTTTGTGCTTGCACTCAGCTTATTGAAGGGCTTCCCCTGGCACAGGAACAGAGGCTCTCGCTAATATCAAAGCAATCTCTTGATGCGGATTTGTGAAATGCCTGGGAGCTGCTGCGTCAAAGACCTCAGTCGCTTCATGGTCAAAGAGCAGAGAGAATCAGAAGTATATGTGCAGTAGTGTGTGTTTCTCTATGTGTGTGTGTGTGTGTGTGTGTGCGTGCGTGGTTGATAAACTGAAATAACCAACGGTGACTGATTTCTGTGACTTTAAATGTCTGGCTCTATAGCTGATCCACTACATTCACCAGCTAACTTTGTCTGTCTGTTGTTTGGTGCCCTGGAGGTATTGTACAAATGGTTCATCAGAGGTTATTATATAACTTATTCATTTAAAAAAGAAACCGCAATCCAACCCTAACATGCTGAGAATAATTGGTGGCAACACATAAACTGCACTCATTTACTGAAATATGCTATAATAACATAAGAAACTCCACACGTAGTGGATTTAATCTGTATGCTCAAGGTGCAACAAATGACTGAGTGTAAATATAAATGGGGCCCTATCCTGATGGGTTGTTTTACTGTTTCACATTAAAATCTGGTTCTTTGCTGCTTCTTGGCTGAATTGTAAAGTGATTTAAAACAAGAGATTGATTGTAATTGCAGTTTTAATGAACCTAACATTTCCATCAAATTTCTTAACTTACTTTCATTGTTGGTAGTCGAGTTTGCTAGTGACACTGAGGCTTACTTTTAATCTAAGGAAAGGAAACTTGTACACAGACTCTGCTGTTCTGTGGACCTGTGGGGTGCTCGTTGAATTCAGGCTCCGACCTCTGAAAAAAGACTCCCTGACTTGTATGCTCATATTAATGCCCCAAGTGCTTTTGTCCGCTCTGCTCCACAGATCTTGAAGAGTGCGCAAGTCAACTGTCTTTGTCGTCTGTGTTTGCCTCGAACTCCAGCCTCTCCAAATGTCATCCTGAATCAGGCTCTGCTGTACTGCTTTGTACATGAGTCAAGCTGTCTCATTCCATTGCAGTTGTCTCCGTCTCTGTGGGGAAGCACATGTGACATTTTAACTTGAGTGTTTTTTATGGCATTCGGAGCAGAACAAGCTGCTGTTCTCAGTTTTTCGCAGCTGTGGCGTAATAAGCAGTGGTGCCCAATCAGGAGAATTTGCTGCCCACTTTAGAGGTCACAGGGCCAGAAAGCGAAGAATATAGATTTAGTTTAACAAAAAGAACAAAATGGACTAGCATCACATGACCCACCCCTGGTCACACGGACTAGATTAGTGTTTCTAAATAATAGTGTTTTTTCTCAACCTCTGTGTCCTCAAATGGCCACTAGAGGTGGTAGTGTAGCCCTGAATGAATGAATTATGAAAGTATGTCACTTTCTGTGGCCATGAGGTAGCCTACTTGAAAAACATCATCCAGAAATTTTTTTTCTTTCCTTGTAGGGTTCCTGCACTCCCAGTAAAGAACCTGACTGGATCTGGACCCGTGCACCCAGCACTAGCAGGTTAGACAACATTCATTGTATCACATCTGCATAGAAAACAGCTAAAAGAGTGCTTTTGTGGTGAAAGCTAGATGTCTTATTGATCTTGAAAAGCATTCACAATCAGTGATTTTTCCACTCTTCTGTGTGTGGATTTGTGTGTGTATGTGTGTGTGTGTTGTACATATGCATCAGGTATGACAGGTATCCTGATGTGCGCTGCAGGTCTGCCGGTTTGCCTGACTCGGGCCCCCAAGCCCATACTGCACCCACCACCCATCAACAAGAGTGACATGAAGCCTGTGTCAGGGATCAACGGCATGCGCCGCAAAACCAAGAAAAAGCACCTGAGGAGAGGTAAGATGGAATCAATGAGTTGGGAAGAGAGGAGGAAATTAGATGAAAACCAAGAAGTAGAAATGCTACCATTGTATTTTTACATTTTTGGGGCGGCTGTGGCTCAGGAGATAGAGTGGGTTGTGTTGAGGGAATGTTAGTTCCTTTCTGATATGCAGTTGCCACCTTGCATGGGTGACTCTGCCTTCAGCGTATGAATGTTGATGAATGGGGTAAATGTGTAACATGTATTGTAATGCGTTTTTGGGTGCTGGTGAGAAAGGCACTATATAAATACAGCCTATTTACCATATAGTGAATTCGAAATGCAATAGGAATAGACCAACCTCTGATAGTCAGCAGACTTTCTCTGTTCTGCCAAGCTTTGCAGGATGTTTCTGTCCAAGCTGTCTGTAATCTCTTATTTAGCATGCAAACAAAACCAAAGCTGTTGAAATGATGATAGCTAGTTCAGATTTATGAGTAACTGCCGTGGAGTGTTACTGTAACAATTTTATAGATGTTAGGCCACATGCAGATTGACAGAGGCAGTTGTAAAGAAAGCAACTAACATGGGGCTGTTGTACTGAGACAGAGTGAGAGGGGATCTGGTGTTTTGTTGGACAGCTTTGGGCTTGAATAAGTCCTGGTCGATAGAAGCCAGGAAAACCACCAGCCTCCCAAGGGAGTCTTTTTTCTGATTGATGAGTGAGGCTGCTGGGTTTCCATCTATGCACTGTGATTGTCCTCTTCAACCCTTGAGATCTCTCCATTACTTAGTGGTGTGGAGATGATGCAACAACATATTTTACGAGTCCCATAGTTTCCCATAATTTACTGGGAAGGAACTGATATGTGCTGTAAATTTGTAGGACGGTCTGTGCAAAGGTTTATTGTATTGTAATTTGGAATTAATTATAGGAAAGTGGCCAGTGTTTAATCGGTACACTTGCAGCTCCAGCGTAACCTAGAGCCTGTCTACAGGCACACATATGATTCAACATACTGTATATGAAGAATAATGAATAAATACATAGGAGTGGTGATAGGGCAATGGATAAGAGACCTGGGTTCAATTCTCACTGTGACCCATCCACCATTGCGTCCCTGAGCAAGACACTTAACCCCTAGTTGCTCCAGAGGTGTGTGACCTCTGACATAAAAAGCAATTGTATCATTTTTTGGATAAAAGCGTCAGCTAAATGAGTAAATGTAATGTAAATATTTAGCAGGGTTTAAATGGAGCAGTTCTTTCATGGAAATTCCTCCAAAAATCAACAACTTAACATTACTTAGGTACAGCGATGATTTGAGTTAAATGCTAACATCACCATGCTGAGATTTGTGCTTATCCGACATTACCATCCCTTAATCCATGTTGATAGCATGGCTAAAAACTAGAACTTTTTCCCTGTTTTTCCCCAAATTACATTGTTATTTTGAGGAAGTTCAATGGAAATTATTAGGAAATTATAGATCTTTAAAATGAGTAACCAGTGACGCTGCAGATTGAGAAATGAAGCTACAGCCAAGTATGCAACTTGTATGAACTGTCTGTAGACAGAGTGTGAACTCAGAGAGACTGGAGGGCTGTCAGGGAGATTTGTGCTTATCCTGCTCTGCTTTCTGTGCAGAAAAAGGTAACAGAGGCTTTTAATCCAGGCTAATGAAGCTATCAAATAGCAATAGTGTAAAATGCATAATTGAGTCTCTTCTATCTTTTGCCCCCTTTCTTTTCTTTTTTCTCTCCTCCCTCTCGTGATAGCTCTTTGCCTTCTCTGTCTTCTCTACCCTTTATACCTTAACATGTATTCTGCTTAGTCTGTCTCTTTCCACTGCTCTCCCTCCCTCTGTTCGCTGGCTGTCCCTCAAATGAACAAACAAAGGCTCTGGGGGAAAAGAGGTTGCCTGTAAGCGTATTAGGGGTGTAAGCTGTGGGTGTGCTCTCACCCATGCTAGCCTGGTTGCACACGGGGATTATCAGAGAATGCAGGGAAGGCTGGTTGTTATGTGCCAGTTTGAAGGTGACCTCCCCTTCAACATCACAGACATGTATACGCTATTCACATACAGCTATTCCCAGGCCAGGCTGAAATCAATTAAAGTTTGTCATTTATTAATTTCTAGCTGTTATTCTCTTATTCAGTTGACAAACAAATGCCATCCAGTGGGTATCTTGCCTTTTTCATATTTACTTGTAGCATGTGGGTGTAAGTTTTTTTTCTTATATCTCTTATGTTATATTCTGTAACAAGGAAAAAACCCAGAGGATGTGGTGCGAAGATACACTGAGAAGATCAAAGTGATGCCAGATGAGGTATGAAAAAGACACAAAAATGTGCGCACGCACACACACACAGCACTTATAAGTTTTATGCCCACCAAGAGATGCACTCTGTCACCGTTTGATGTCCTAACCATGTGTGAAAGTCTCATAAATACACAGTCATGTCAAATGGCAGATGAAGTATTTTGGTTGGCTATTCCAGGATTGTACCATCTGCATGGAGAGGCTGGTCATGTCATCGGGCTATGAAGGCGTCCTGCAGCACAAAGGCATCAAGCCAGAGCTGGTGGGCAAACTTGGCAAGTGTGGGCACATGTACCATCTGCTGTGCCTGGTGGCCATGTACAACAATGGCAATAAGGTGGGTAAAAGCTTGTGAGCCAGACGTCGTTATGATGTCACTCTAGGCTCAAATTATAAACTCTCATCTTACAGCTTGACTGGATTGCATGGCACTGGCAGATGTCCATGCTCCACTATTGTTGTACACAGATGGGAATCTTATATAGTCTTATCAGATCAGGCATATCAGTCTTGACAGCACAATACTTTGTAAAATCATTGTACATTCTGCTCACTTCAATTCTGTTTACTTGCATGAAATACAAATGTACTGCTTGGTAATGCAGATTTATTGAGCATTACATTAACAATAGTTGGTCTAATGATATCAAATCAATTTATCAATTACTATTAAAAAGGCCAGATCACACAAATAGTAAAAACATTCATCACTTACCTCTGGTGGTATCTAGCCATGTAGATAGTGTTGGTTTTATTTGTTTATGTTTGAAGTATCCATCTTTAATATTGCTGCTCTCATCCCCTGTTATGGTCAGAGGATTGAAAAACTACATTTAAAAATTTTAGCAGCACCTTTCTAAGAACAATATAATTTCTGTATAATTTACAGAAAACGCTCTGTCAACAGTTTTCTTTGGGACAATTTGGGAGCAGTATTAATAGACGTTTTGGCCATATGGGGGCAGCACTGAAATTTTATCACCTTTAAAAACCTTTACTTCTAGGTGTTAGCAAACAGTTGCCTATTTACACATCCAGCAGATACAACTTTAGCATTAAATTGGAGTTTCTAGCAACCTGTTCTCTCTTCTTTTAGCTCTGGTTTGGTCTCCACCAACTATCTATGGTCTCTTTAGCTGCTAAATTTTCGACTTGGCTAGTTGCTAATTTTGTTTGTCTGGTGTTTGGTGCCGGGCAGTTCGAGTACAGTGGGTTTATTTTGAGGTTTTTTTTCACCTTCTTGGCACTGGAAATGAGGTTGATGAGACCAGTGAGAGTGAACTAAGACAATACATTTGTGGGGTGTAAAACCAAAACAACAAGGTGAAAGTTATCTATCTGCATGGCTAGCTAGATACTACAAGAAAGTGGAAAAAGAACAGAACTGACCCTTTAAAAGACTATGACACTAAGCAATAAAAGTCATTACTGTCTTATCGTGTCATTGAGATATATATATATTTTATTTTATTTTATTTTTTTCAAACCAGGATGGCAGTCTTCAGTGTCCAACATGCAAAACCATCTATGGGGAGAAAACAGGCACCCAGCCTCCTGGGAAGATGGAGTACCACGTCATCCCCCACTGCTTGCCCGGCTACCCAGACTCAAAGACCATCCGCATTGTCTACGACATTCCTGCCGGGATCCAGGTCAGAACCGTATAATTTCACTTAATCCACCATTCTGCTTTTGTGCCCTGATCCACTGTCTCCCCTCTGTAAATCTGTGCCCTTTCTACAACTGCTGCTTATCCGCTTAAGTACGACGGTCGGTTGTTCGTGCAGGAAGGTGAGGCGTTGCTGTGGAAGTCACTGATGAAAGAGCATTCTTAGTGATCGCACAGTGGACAGATAGACTCTTCAAAATCCAAAAAAAGAGACACACTGTAGATATATTAGGACTATATTCATTATCTTCGTCAACTATTAGTTTGCAGGGTTTTTTTGAGTAATTAATTCATCATTTAGTGTATATCTATATATCAAAAAATTAATAGAAGATTAATTAAAACTGAGCTTTATCCAGCGAAGGTCATTTTACATCACAGGACAGCATGTTTTGCAGCCTGGTTTTGGGTTTGTTAGATGAGGATGTTGCGTATTTCATCCTGACCGCTGAGAGGAGTTTTAAGAGTCAATAAACTGACCTTTTTCCACCAGAGGAGCAGGCGTACTGTCCCAGGGAACAGAGACCACTCAGGTCAGCACAGCAGCACTATTGCCAGTGAACATTTCTGTTCTCCTCTCGCTCCTCTGTAACGGACTTAATGGACAACAGAAAAATAATATAATGTAGTATTAGACATACAATAACCAACTGAATGAGAATCAGGAAGTTGTCAAATGAAATCTCGCAAGATATACTATAAACATGTCCAACTATGCATCACTCTGCATGTATAAATTGCTGGGAATTTCTTTTTCACACTGGTGCCTTGAAAGCAACTTTCTAAAATATGATATTTAAAGAGATAATTGGGTATTTATAGACGCATATTTCTCAGATGATTTGTACCAGTGACCATTGTAAGCAACATGAACATTAAAGCTTGTCCTGTGGGTGCTGTTGACATTTTCTACATAATTAAGTTGCAATTTTAAGAGAAAGAGTTGTAATGTTTGACATTTTCACCAGACCAATGAGCACCCCAACCCCGGGAAGAAGTTCAGTGCCAGAGGGTTCCCTCGACACTGCTACCTCCCCGACAATGAGAAAGGCAGGAAGGTAAGCTCTCACACCGGCCCAAGAAAACACTGAAAGCTCAACAAGCATTAAAACCATGCAGGAGTCTAGTATTAAATTAATTCATTAGAAGGTTACATCATTTCATCACTTATAATCAAACCTGTATGTCCAAAGGAATCGACAATAAGTTAGATAGGTTTCAGTAGCATGTTAGCTCTCTTTTAGGATCACACATGAATTATTGTTTTTTGGTTTCTGGACCTAGTGTGCTTATATGCATTAAAGTAACATAATCATGTATATTTTCCTTTTTACAGTGGCCCACGTTGGAATCCAGCCTGTAGCCCTTTGCTGCGTGTTGCTCCCTATATCTCTCCCTCATTTCCTCATTCTATCCTCTGTCCTATCAAATAAAGACAAAAAATGTCTAAACAATGTCTTTAAATTTTCTCTAAGAAAACGGGATTGACCAGTATTACTGTATTACTTTGTAAATATTTCGCTCACAGATTAAAACAGCTACGGTATTTAGTTTCCCTGACCAAAGTAATTAGAGATTAAATCTAAGTTTTGCAATGACTTAGTTCAATGTGTGTGTTCACACATTTGTTTCACTATTTTAACTGAAAAAACGTTATTTGTGTAAACAGAGTAATATGAGTGAGATGTGTCACCAGTGAGACATCAAAACAAATGTTATGAAGGAGGATTAATATGACTGCAAAGTACTACCAACATTACTCATACAAGAAGTGATTTTACCTCAAATAGTGAGACACTATATTCCTTCATGGGATTTGTTACTTTCTTCTTGCTACAGAAGAATAATGACTTCATGTCCTAATGACTTTTGTTTCTCCAGGTCCTGAAGCTGCTGATCATGGCCTGGGACCGACGCCTCATCTTCACCATCGGCACGTCCAGCACCACGGGCGAGTCAGACACAGTGGTGTGGAACGAGATTCACCACAAGACAGAATTTGGCTCCAACCTGACCGGCCACGGCTACCCCGACCCCAAGTACCTGGACAACGTCCTGACAGAGCTGTCGGCCCAGGGGGTCGGCGAGGACAACCTGAAGGACTGATGGCCAGCTGAGCTGGTACAAAGGAACACAGCCCGCCATCTCCCAGAGAATAGGGACACTGCATGATGGCCCAACATGCAGCTGACAACTCTTTACTCCCCTCAAACAAAAATATCCACAGAAGTGGTGGCACAAGAGCAACGGAAGCAAAATAAATGTCATGGTTATGATCAATGTTTTGATTTGTATAACCTAAGATTTCCCCCCTGCTGTCTCTTGATCCATGCCTTGAGCATGTGGTGTTCATGCCAAATTTTTTCAGAGGGTTGAAGAATGTAAAGACAAGGTGAGATTTCTGTCTTGATGTTGGTAGCTGCTGGTAAATGGTATTTAATCCCTTTTTAGATTAAACTAAAGCTGTTCCTCTGCACTTAGAGTAAAATGGTGAGGGGCCAAACCATACAAAGGCATATTTGTAAATGCTGAACTCCAGAATGCATGGCCCAGACTAACGCTGCATAATGAATATCAGGCGAATATCTTCGATAGGGTGGGGTGTCGATAGATCAGTTGTTGTTTGATATTGTGAAGAGAAATTTAAGAGAATTTCAGCATTCAGGATTAATCCAAATGAATCGATTTTGTTGCTTCCCCCGTTTTCTCTAATAACAAATTATTGTCCTGTAACAAGTGGTGAAACTTGGTTTTGTGATTTGAAGGAGAGGATTTTGGCTTTTTGGTGATGTGACGGTAAAGTTGCACTGGGCATGTCTGACATTTTCCACTTCTGATAACTCAGGTCAGTTGTTCTGTAAAATGGAAGTGTGTTTGGTGGTGCATGAAGTAGATGAAATATTAGTGTTTGGTAATAAACGTATGTTGTAAGGTTAACCTTGTTGACTGCCTATGAGAGGAGACATGAAATAGATGAAACAAGCATCTTACCAGTCAGTTTGATGCGTGTTACGAGGCGTTGTAACTTCAAAGGCTGAGGTTGTGAAGCAAGATTTGCTATGCCCCAAGGTTAAACTCATTTCTTTTGTTGACACACTGATGACGCTGACCTCTGTCTGCATTATTTTTCTCCCTGTTGGAGCAAACCCAGGCATTGGCATGATCCATCATGCTGACCATAAATGAGGGGTGAGTGTGTGATTGCATGCTCTGAGGCATTAATATGCTGGTTTTGAGTCCTTGAGGAGAAAAACTGAACACAGATGGACGTTGCTCTTTCAAACACCAACAGTTTCCCCTTGGAGATGCATTTTGGGCGGCGCTGCTGCTCACCTGCGATCTACAAATCTCTTGTGAGCTTGTTTGCTGCTAGGCAGTACACTGGGCTCCACTGCCTGTAATGCGGGCAGTGAAATATCTCATTCAATGTGTGAGCTCACTCAGAGTTGTTAGAGCCGATCCTGATGTATGGGCTCGCCCCCACCTTCCTTCTCCTTCATTCTAGGAACCATGAAAATGTTGGTCTAGTATGTAGTTGGCTTGGAATAATTTTTTCCTGCGCTCCTCTTTCCCCCTCAAATTTTATGCCCGTGAGCTAATGACTTTTTGAAGGTGCTTCGTGGAGATCTTTTGATGTTTCTTCACATTCAGATAAAAGATAACCCAGTGCTGCATAATTCTCCATAAATATATCTGATCAATTTTAATAAGTGGGGGATGTTGATGTAAGGTTTATCATGTGGGCACCCAGCTGTGAGCTTAACTTTAGAGTGAATCATAGTCTTCCATAGCACTTTGAGGCAACAGTTTTGTTTAATCAGTCATTTAATTTTTAATGTCTTAAATTGCAACTAAATCTGTGTTTTTTAAGTTGATGTTTATAAACTGGCTTGCAATGCTTTGAAAAATATATATGATCTACATTTGCAGATGTGATATACCTTTAAATTCAAGCTCAATTTGAGTCGATGGTGTAAGTTTAATTTATTTTTATACTCTTCTATATAGAAAATATAAAGACTGGCCCACATATCTATACACAGTTATAGTTTATGTTAACACATAATACATAAAATCTGGCAAAGATGAATTTGTCAGTATGTCAGGGACTGTTGAAATATGTACGACATGTTGTGGACGTCTTATATTACAAGTAGTCTTAGCATATGCTGCTGTCGTTACCTTAATGTAGAATCTGTGTAGTTGATCCCCTGTGGGACTCCCAATAAATACAGTAAATGTGTCTTTATTATTGTTGGGGGAGCTTTAGCAGCATGACGATGGCCGTTCCCCCCAAATGGCCTATTTCTCTTTTTCTACTTGTCCAGAACACGGGAATGGATGCAGTCAGCAATCTTTGTTCAGTTTGAGGGTGAAAACAACGCGCCTGGGTTAAAGAGAAAATACAAATAATTCTTGTAGTTTGTTTTAGCTAATGGGAGCAACAGATTGGTGGGATTTACCTCAGTCAGTTGTCAATCTAAGTACACTGAATTACTCTCTTACTAGGTCTTATACGAACACACAATACAGTTTTCACATTTCTACGTTTAGAATCTGTTTTCGTTATTTTACATGAGATTTTTGAATCTCTGAATGTAGCCAGCAATGTCCGTTGCTAGCTACCTACAAACATTCGCTTTAAGCTAAATCTTTTAGTGTTAAACGCTTATAAAAATGTTTTTCAAACATAAGCTTTGATTGCTTCATATTCAGTCATAAGTATGTAATGTTATAAAGAAATAATTTGTTTTCAGGGGCTTTGAACTACTTTTCCATGTTAAGCTTCAACTTTCTGGCAACCACATAGGCTAAAACAAACCACTAAAAGTATTTGTAAGTGTGATTTTGACCCAGGTGTTGAAAAAGGTAATTGTTTGGCCTGTTCCATCTCAAGATTTCTCCTTCACAACCTTTTTGACTCCCTTTATAATACGGGACAGCAACAGAGAATGCTTCCAATCTATCAGGGAATTTCTTTCCGTGTTAAGTGAAGGTTCATTAACCAGAGAAATCCAAATGCTTGCTTCTTTGACTTTTCCTTTCCATGTGTCGGCCTTGTAGTGTTAAGATGCAGGCCCTTTAGACTTTTCAGGTGTGTACAGACTTATATGAGAATGATAAATAAAACATGGTTTGGTATATGTCTGATTAAGAGAGCGAGAGAAGTGTCGTTTATGCAATTTACTATTTTTAAGGTCTAATACATGATTTTTGTGTAGCAAGAAGGTAGATTTTTTGACAACAGATGTTTTCTTTATGGGAAGCCTACCTCCAGGTTTCTAAACAAGGGGGTCGCGATCTGAGGAAGTTCACACGCTATGTATTAGAACATATATTTTTGATGTCTTTTTTTGAATGATGATTGTCTCTAACAGAACTATAACATTGCTGTATTACTCTTATTAAGATTAATTCCATACCCTTTTCCATTTGATTAGAAGTGGGATAACGGATGAAATCACTTTGTCCTAACATATGAAGTATTTACAGTTGTAGGCTACTCTGTCATGTTGTCAACTGCAAACTGTACTTCTCTCTCTAAATGATACCTTAACATTTTCTGTGGCTTTACTGTATGTTTGTATCCGTTTGTCTGTGTGAGTGCGTGTGAATGTGTGCCGAGTGTGCGTCTAGTAAACAAATTTTAGGTTCATGTCCTTTAAAGATACAGTAATGTTCTCCTAGAGGTGCATGTTAACCAAACTGTGAGCAAGTTTATTGATAATACATAGCTTTTTGCGTATGAATACATCATAGCTTCTTTAGAAACGTCACCCAGGTCTTCTGGTGATTTAGCACTGTGGTTTTGCATATTACTCCAGTTAGCCTAGCTATAAAGGTTTTTTCCTCCATCAGGTTTGATTTACACAGATGGGGACGAGACGGCGTTTGGCTGCTCTCCTCGCTCTTTTAACAACTTGTAAAACATCGGAAAGGTTTTGCATTTTAAGTGCCCATTTTAATTGACATTTTCAAATCATGATTTCTGTGATGTGGTTTCTTTTAAGCAGTGTCAACATATTGCAATTTAAAATGGTTCACAAAGAGAAACTGAGATCAATTTAAAGCAAGATATTGAGACACATTGATTAAACTATAAAGGGCTTAATCTATCAGTCGTTATTGAATTGTGACCTTGTTGCATGTTTGTGCGTTTGCTGTGGAAAAATAAATGTGCCCTCGACAAGGGTAGTTTGTTTGACCTTTTGTCACCTTGGCTCTTCCTCATTTTTTTCCCCCATTCTGTGCCATGTCCTCCTTCATTTAGCTCCACCATTTCCTTCTCCCTGGGCAACTCTGGGCTCTACAACCTCGTTATGTGGATAGAAATTAGCTTTGCTGGAGCAGTGGTGTGCAGCAGAAACTGTTCTCACTGGCAGTAAATTTGCTTTATGGTCATTTTCTGTCACTGGCTGCTGTATGTTGCTGCTGTGGTGAAGAGCTGTGGTTGGCGCATACTAAAAGCTGGCCCTCCACCAAGGCCTGCGGGGAGATCAGCTTCCCCTTCAACACACCCCTCTTCCTTCCAGCACTGACCCAGCATCTCAGGGGTCAGTCTCCTCCTAGTTCTGGTTGCTGAACCCCCTGCCCTGCCTCCTCTCATCGCTCACCCCTCGTGTCTAATGAGAGCGCTAGCAGGGAGACTCTGCCGCATCACTGCTCTCATTAGCATTTAAATAAGGCCCGGGAGGAAGAACAGCAACAAACATTGTTTGTGTGGCATAATTTAACAGTAGATTCAGACTCCTGTTGGATTGTAAATTCTGTGGTTATAGTGGTTTGATTATTAATATATATATATATATATTTTGTCTGCAATATTAATAATCTAATAGATATTATTAAATCTATTAGATTATAATTATTTATTTGACCAAAGGGGTGGTGTGGTAACCATGATACTGTGAGGTTAATAAGTAATGATATTTCCAGTAACACCATGAGTGAATGAATGACATTGCCTGCGCTGAGTCACACCTTCCACTTTAAAACCAAACAGGAGAGGAATGGACATAAGCAAGAAAATGACATACCTAGTATTAATCATTTCTACTTGTAAGACTGCCAAAGTTAACTAGCAGAGAACACAAATTTGACAAATTAGACACATAAGCTGAAATTAAAGTTTACTGAAAAATACAGTTGTGTTTAGTTCACAGTAACGATCCACTTGGAACAAACCATCATTGTGTAATTGCAAAATAAAGCACAGGCAGTAGTGTCTTTGTTTTCAAAATAAAAGCCCTCATTCGGGGAATATCAAGTTCACAAGCGACATCTGATGTTTAATCTAGTTTAAAAAGACTCTGCGATAGAGCTGAAGTGGCAAATCACTAAAACATATTTTGGAGTGCAGCAAGTACCAGAACACTTAAGGAATAACTCTGTATGATGGTAGCGTATTGATTGTCATGTCTGGCATACGTATAGTGTTAACATCAATTTATCCAAAGTTTTTCCTCTAAAAGACCGACACTACAGTGGCAGTACCAGAAGCTCCAGAGGCAGGGTGGCCTGCTGAGGCTATCAGAGACCACACATCTGATCTCCATTACACTCACTGACCTTCTCTGTTTAAGGGAAAGACACAGAAAACTACTCGCTTTACGGGAAATGGCTTTACAATATGTCTGTGTACAGTGTGTGTATTTCACAGATAAAAAAAATTGATTTACTTGAGTGCTTCAAAATTTTTGTGTTTGTGTTTTTTTTTTTACATTTTTAAAAACAAATTTGGCATCTTAAACATCGCCTGACACATGTGAACCAAATGCAGTGGCACCAAAACCAGAATAGTAAACTTATTAAATGGGAACATTCATTGTTACTTCTATTGCCTCAGTTACATTGAAGATCGATTCTTTATATGTATGGACATTATATTGTTAACAGGTAAATATTACCCTTGCGACTTGAGGAATGGCTATATCAAGTGTAAGGACATTTTAAATACGCAAATGACATCAGAACCAAACATTTAAGTTGACTGGCCATAGCACCAAACAAAAACACATTGTTTTGTATAAAGGAACCAACGCAGGATTAAAATAATATTAATTTTGCTCACTGTACAGGCAACTTTAAACTGTGGCATGCGCGCCAGCATTTCATAATCTCAGGGTGGTATGACCTGTAATGTTAATGTCACTGCTACATTGGGAACATGGCAATAAATTGCCTCAACAAAATACAAAACGTTTAAAAGCAATATCAAAACACCTTACATTCAGGTACTGTAGATTACACTACAACAAGCTTTTTGCATAAAAATGTGCGACCGAGGTCCTGTACATTATCCCAAAATATAAAAGCTTCTTTTCACATTTCACAACAAGTGGATGCAGGCCATGCAAGGGATTGTTTCTTATCTACATAAAAAATATCAAGTCAGATCATGCTTCAAAGTCCCTCGGCCCCCTTTATCATCAAGTATCATAATCTCTCCCCAGCGCTGTTGAAGTCGGTGGCACTCAGAGAATACAAAAAGATTCAAAGTGGCAGAATTCCCTCTGCTCTTTACAGCGGGAAATGTACTAAAAGGCTGGAAGTGGTTGCACCCTGTGGCCACGTTTTTCTCCCTGACAATCAGAGAGTGAACAGCTGCTATAATAGATGCTCACTCGTGTTTGTACAGGATGCTGGCCCCCCGCCCTCTCAGGCATTAGTGGATCCCAGTCTATGTCCAGTCTAGGGATTCAGAAAGACACTGGTGGCGTCCTCCTTTTCTCTTCGCTGGAAGGTGGCGTGAGCCTGCTCCAGATCCTCTACCACCGCCAACAGCCGAGCAGCAATGCTCTGACCTGGCTTCATTAGCTTAACATTGCATTCTGCACTATCTATGAAACAGAAAGTTTACAATCATGATGATAACATACAAAACAATAAAAACTCTTTTACCGTGGCAGAAAATGTACAGTTTGGATGCAGCAGCAGCAGCCTCACCTGGGCGAATGTCAGAGTTGTTCTTTACTTTGTTGCTGGCCGTTTGATCAGCGTCTGGCATCTCTAGATATTTTTTCCTGCAACATCAGTCAGATACATTAAACATAATTAACACATGATTGTCCTCTGGAAGCTGCTTTGTCTTCTCACAGAGTGACAGGTAACCATGTGATAGTAATGTCAACAAGCATCAGCAGAAGCAGCAGAGCAGTACGCTCCTGTGTTGCAACATAGACCTCTAGTGGCTAGTAAATTAACTGCATGCAGGCTGAGGATGCGTCTCCACTGACCTGAGTTTGTCTTTGCCCTGGAGAAGCTGCTTGTATATGGTCTGCGTCTCCACGTCGGGATCCAGTGGGTCACTCCAGTCACCCAGAGTGACAGCAGAATGGGTTCTACTGCAGCCTGCAACTGAGAACCAGCCTTGTATTGAACAGTGATGCTCTGAATGCAGACCTTGCACAGCCAAATCCTTCAACTTGACAATTTGATGGACGTCTCATAGTCCATTACATTTTTAGTGCCAAAAGCCACAGTGGCAATCAAACCCCAAATCCTGGCACTACCCAGTGTTTAACCTACACGGAACTCATGTCATATAAACAAAAATGATTCTGTTGTTCAGGACTGAAAAACCACACGGAATTTAATCAAGCTTGTGACTAAACGTAATTGGTCAGAAAAAAATCACATTATGATTCTCAGAGCTCATTCTCCACTGAAGCAACAAATACATGGCAGCTACAAATGAAGAGTTTATTCATTAAATATGGATCCCCAGGAGCTCATTCGCTCTTTGATGCCAGCTACAAGTTCAAGTGAAGTATGAAAGTATAATGTTACTAATGTAAGCTTAGCATTTTGATGGACAACAATGCCTGTGCTCTGGGTAACAGCATCCCAGAACACAGGCAGTGTTGTCCTTCATTCCTGGCGATTCTGGCGATGGTATCTTGGGTGCGATTAAACACATGTAACGGTAAATGTGAGCTACATTTTTCAGATACGATCACAATCAGTGCATTAAATATCAGTCAGATAATCACAAACCATCCTGAGTCCTTGTAGAACGATTTTTAACGTTTGTGCAACATCACAATTAATAGAAGTAGTATTACCAGCACGGTCCGCCTGCAGGCAGCAAGTCCACTTGCCACTGCGATGAGCTCCTGGGTGGAAAGAGGGCAGCATGCGCTCATTGTAAATGCTGACTTTCCTGATCGCTGATAGCCACTGGTTTAGCTCATTCACGTTCTATTCAGACAAAAAGACCCACCATGAGTTCATTGGTCCATTACAGACATTTTGAAATCAAAGCAGGTGGAAATGTGCAATGCAAATGTAATTAACTAATAAGCCTTCACTGATAAAAGGTAAATGGTAAATCCAATTTTATTTATTTATGGCTCAAGTGAGCACAAAGGGGTTCTTCTAATAAACATCAGTATTTTATTTGAGCTTATCTCTAATTGAAGAACACAGCAAACTGTCAACAAAATAATGGTTCAAGAAACTAATCCTTTGTCTGTGCCATAACCAAGAAAAAGGCATTTTTGTGTCAGTACCAATGCACCTTGCACTGGATGTACATGGTGTGCAGCTGCCCGTCGTTGTCCTGGGTGATGACCTGCATTACATTCTGCTGCTGAAAGGCATTTTCATCCACCCTCTCCACGGCACACACACACTGAATAGGGATTGAGGAGCGCACCTGCAACAATTAGCCACAAACCACAACACCAATTAACACAAGTATGCACAGGCTGGTAGTGATGGATCATGCTTTTGCCTTAGGTGGTTTAGACTTAAGTTAAGTAAAATAAAAGCGACATTGGAGTGCAAGTCTCTAATACTGAAATCTATTCCACACATTAAGAAGAGTGTGAGACAAGAAGGAAGTGAAGATGAGATCAACATGGCAGCAAAGGCCACTTTAAAGTGTAAATCAGCCACTTCCAATGGGAGCTCGCTTCACTCGACTGGAGTGCTCCAACGTGGAGGAAAGGGGCCGGGACATTGTCTGCAATCTGATTTGCAATGTTAGCATGAATATCCACAGCCTTCAATTACCCCTCGCCTTTATTCCAGTCACACAAAGCCAAGACTGGCTCAAAGAGAGAGCTTTTTACTGGGCTAGAGAGAGCCTGCTTCTCTCTCTCTCTCTCTCTCTCTCTCTCTCTCTCTCTCTCTCTCTCTCTCTCTCTCTCTCTCTCTCTCTCTCTCTCTCTCTCTCTCTCTCTCTCTCTCTCTCTCTCTCTC